GTCCTTTGCCCATTTCTTAATTGGGTTGTTTGTCTTCCTCTTGCTGAGTACTATGAGTTCTTTGTACACTTTGGAAATTAGCCCCTTATCAGATGCATCCTTGGCAAATATGTTTTCCCAGACCGTGGGGTTCCTTTGTATTTTGAGGCTGTTTTCTTTTGCTGTGCAGAAGCTTTTTAGTTTGATGTAGTCCCATATGTTTATTTTTTCTTTTGTTTCTCTTGCCCTAGGAGATGTATCAGTGAAAATTCCACTATGTGGGATGTCTGTGACTTTCCTGCCTATGTTTTCTTCCAGGATTTTTATGGTTTCGTGACTTACATTTAAGTCTTTTATCCATTTTGAGTTTATTTTTGTGTGTGGTGAAAGTTGGTGGTCTAGTTTCATTTTTTTGCATGTAGCTGTCCAATTTTCCCAGCACCACTTATTGAAGAGTTTGTCTTTAACTTCATTATATGCTTTTGCCTCCTTTGTCAAATATTAACTGACCATAATGGCGTGGGTCTATTTCTGGGGCCTCTGTTCTGTTCCACTGATTTCTATGTTTGTTGTTGTATCAATACCAGGCTGTTTTGATTACAATGGCTTTGTAGAACTGTTTGATGTCCGGTAAAGTGATTCCTCCCACTCTGTTCTTTTTTCTCAAGATGGCTGCAGCTATTCGGGGTCTTTTTTGGTTCCATATGAATTTTTGAAATGTTTGTTCTAGATCTGTGAAATAAGCTGTTGGTATTTTAATAGGAATTGCACTGAATTTATAATTTGCTTTGGGTTAGACAAAGATTTCTTAAAACATAATAAATCACAACTAACTATAAAGGAAAACATTGGAAAATTAGAGTGTCTTAAAATTATGAACTCCTTATTCATCAAATGATGCCCTTAAGAGAATGAAAAGCTGCAGATCAGAATACATATTACACATTTCCAAAAGTGAACAGTATACATAAAGAACTCCTACAAACCCCTAGAAAAATGGTCAAAATTTTAAAAGAACATGAGAAAAGAAAATATACAAATGGCCAATAAACTTATGAAAAGGTGTTTAACTTCAAATCTTTTGAGAAGACACTAATCAAATCATAGAGACATCACTTCATAGGTACGAAATAGCTATAGTTAAAACACACAACAGCCCTAGCTGGTTTTGCTCAGTGGTTAGAGCGCTGGCCCGTGGACTGAAGGGTTCCGGGTTCGATCTTGGCCAAGGGCACGCACCTCAGTTGCAGGCTTGGTTACATGTGGGAGGCAACCAATCGATGTGTCTCTCTCACCTGGGATGTTTCTCTCTCTCTTTCTCTCCCTCCCTTCCACTCTCTCTAAAAGATCAATGGGAAAAAAATATTCTTAGTTGAGGATTAATAACAAAAACCCCCAAAACTGTCAATATTAAACTTTGGCAAAGATATAGAACAACTGGAATTCTTATATAGAGCTGTTTGGGAGTACATTGCACACTATTTTAGAAAACTGTTTGGCAGAATCTACTGAAGCTGAAAACAGATCTGAACACTTCTGCTCCTAGGTGTATGTCCAACACGAATGTATACCAAAATAAGACATGGAAACACATTTAATTAGAAAAAAAACCTGCTAAAAAAAGTCATCAAACTCAAAATGAAAAGGCATATAACAAAGGAGTACTCCTACATATTAATAACATCAAGACAATGGAAAAGCGGGCAAAGGATGTGAATAAGATAGAGGAAGAAACAAAAGGACAAAAATATATTATTAATCAGGAAAAAAATGAAATCAGTAGTGCTTTTCAAGAAACCTAAAAGTGATTTGCAACATTCATTTGAAAGAATAAAGATATAGGAATAGTAAAAAATTCTGAAGGCACAGCCAACAAATTATCCACAGGTTTGAAAATCTATTCATGCAGCGTGTTGGCAGGATGTGGAGAGCACTTTGGAAATATCCAGTACAGTTAAAGGTTCCATATACTGGTCTATAACACCCAGCAATTCCTCTCTTCAGAATCTACCCTAGAAAAATATACAAGTGCTCAAAATGCAAAATCAACTGCACTCTTCCATAAGAGCAACAATTAGGAAATATAATTATAAAAAAGTTATGACTGAAATAGCAAAAAAAAACACACACACAAAAAACT